GCACAAGGCCTGCCTGCCTTGACAAGCAAGCACTGCACCAGGGTGAAAAAATTCCCCTGAAGTCAAGTGACTTGACTACTGTCTGATTAAAAGCAAAAGGGCTGTTTTTGCAAAGTCTCTCTCACTGCCGGATGGAGGATAACACAAATCTTATCATTCTATTATCTCATCTAGCCTTCTATTCAGCTTTTTAAGAATTACTCAAATTTCCTATTGTTTGTCCTTTAGATGTGGAAATTCATCCAGGTTGCATGTTTTTAAACTAATCAAGTTTTCCACCTGCTACACCTTAAAGGAATCCACAAAAGTCTTCTGGCTAGTTTTTCGGGATTCTACTATGTAGTCTTTAGATAAAGAAATCCACCTATGTCTCCTATTCAGAGATTTGATGAGCAAGGAATTTCCTCTTCTGTCTCCCAGGATGACTCAGGGAGAAAAACAAAAACCCATTAAATAGTAGATAAGGTTTAAGGGACTTCTATCTTAGTTGATCTCCACTATAGTAATATTAAGTCATAAACTTTGTGTACTTATGTACCTGTTTTTAACCCTAATTGATTTTAGAATGTTATATCTCAGCTAAAGGGCAATACGACCCTAAACTGTTCTTAGAAAAAAAAGATGATTGTAATCTCTCAGCCCAGTTCACGTGCTGATGTCATCCCACTGCTTGCTCCTAATGTATAAAATACACCTCTGCTGAAGGCAGAGCAGGAAGACTTGCACCCAACTCCCGTGTCTTCCTTGCTCCCCTTTCCCTTTTCTCCCTTTCCCCCTTTTTTAGGAATCTCCAGTTGCCGACGCCTTCGCACCTTAGGGTCCTGCCTATCTTGCCTCCAGACACCTCAATAGTTGGAGCTGGTCTCCGACAGGCCTGTACCCCAGTTCTATATGCATAAATAATCTTTTTTTAAAAAAGTGGAAAGTAAGCAAAGTGCAAACATTTGTACAATAATTTTGTCTTGCCTTTAAGAAGGGGAAATGAGAAAAGAACTATTCACTTATGCATAGGAAATACAGTAAAGGTAAAATGGAAACTAGTTTGGTTACTGTGGGGAGAGACTGGTAGAAATAAGTTGGGAAAGATAGAAAAAATGAATGGAAATGAGGAAGAAGAACTTTGTTACTTAAGATTCTGCTTGACATTTCAGACTAAAGTTACAAACATGTTAACATCTTATGTGTCCTCCCACAAACAATACAGCAACTATAAAATAGTAAGAAATCAACTAATAAGAATAGAGGGGAAACTCAAATGAAATTCAAAACTGAAACAAATGAATTAAGCCATCTCAATAAATGGCTAATGTAACCAAACTTAAGAGGAAGAAAAAAATAACTGAAGTAATTTTTAAACACAACATTTGAACTACATATCCTCACGTTAAGAACTCTAAACACATTCTAAACTTCAATTTCATTTATTCTTTTGCCGAGATGGGGTGATTTAAAATCTACCCTCAATTATTCTTGGATTGAGAAAGTAAATTTAAAAATTGTAGATAACAGGAAAGAGAATTCTCATCGATGTGGAAGAAAGTTATAAACTTAAAGGAGAATGGAGTAAAATGGACTGGAATTGGTGGTATTGGTATGAATTGATGGCTTTTTATAGTTTTTTTTTTTTTCATGTTCTAAGTTCCAAATGCATTATTCACCAAAAGGCACTTAAAAGAAATAGCCGGCCCTCCCTGGTGGCGCAGCGGGTTAAAGCACTGCACTGAGAAGCTAAAGCCACTTCCGCATGAGTTCGATTCCCGCCTGCCCCAGAGGTGACCACATGGCACGGCAGACCTCTCCTGACTCGCCTGCTGCTCCCCTTAGCAGTGTACTTCGTCGATCTGCCTGTTCTGCTCCCCGCTCTGTCTCTGGTGAAGCCTCTCACCGCCCCTGAGCCTCTGGCCTGTACCCCAGTTCTGTATGTACAAATAAATAAATCTTTAAAAAAAAAAAAAAAAAGAAATAGCCGACTTCAGGATTGGGATGAGTTTAGAACAGTATGTTCTACCACAAAGTAAAAAAAGCCCAACGAATGATGTCAAGTCACAGGGCTCCCATAGGTCCAGCAGTGGACAATATGAACACCACTATAGTGATAGTAAGGAAATAAAACTCAGTGACAAATAAAAATCTAAGAGCTCACAGTGGTTTTAAGTAGTAGAGAAAAAAAAACCTGTCTATATAGCAAAGAGTTAACCATAGAAGCAACAACAGAATTAGAAACTCACCACTTAACAGCAATCATGGTAATAAATTATTCAGGAATGAATTATCAAATGTATGTTAACTAGTGGGTAGAAGTTTGAGGAATAACAGAATATTCTGAGCCTCAAACTACATCCTCACCACCAAGAGAGCTGTTAATTACCCAAACTTTACAGCAGAGTGACGTGACAGACATTACCTTAACCATGTGATCACAGTGAACATGAGAATGGCACAAACTGACAGAATGTACTGCCATCGTGTCCATGATATGCCAGACAAAAATGCATCATGTGGATTTAACCATGAAAATATTATCAAACAAACCCAAATTGAAAGACATTCGAAAAATTGTAACTGGCCTAAACTTTTTAAAAATCAGGGTCATGAAAAATAAGGAAGACTAAAGAACTGTTTCAGATCAAAACAGACTAAAAAAGACAGGACAACTATATCCAATGCATAATCAGGATATTCCTTTGCTGTAATTGACATTCTTGGTACCACTGGCAAGCTCTGAACAAGAACTGCAGATTCAATATTAGTATCATGAGTTTAATTCTGGTAATCATATCATGGGTATCAAAGAAATGTCCATGATTTTAGAAAATGTTCATTAGTCTGAGGTAAGGACCATAATGACACAAGTGACTCTTAACCCAGGCAACTATAAACCAAAACCATTCTTCGGGCTGGAGGAGGAAACTGGATCAAAATGAGTGGAAGGAACACAAGGGACTATGGCGATGGTATACAAATACAGAAAAGTGTTACTCTGTGGAGAACCTGGATAACAGGTATGTATGTCAGTATCTTTGTACTATTCTTACAACTTTTCTGTAACCTGAAATTATGTCAAAACGAAAACTAAGAGAAAAATGTCACATAATCTAGAAAACCTGGCTTCATAAATGCAAAAAGTAAAGGGGACAAATTGTTCAATAACTTAATACATTTTGTTTTGCTGCTTTAATTAGCACTAAGAACGTTAATAACAATAGTCAGTGGTAGCAAGATTGTACAGAACTTGGGCTCTTCATAATGTTGAGAAAATTGGTGCAGATCTTTTAGGAGAAACAAGTTGGCAGTATACACTAAAAGCAAAATATATGTGCAGACTTCAGAGACTGTACTGCTACACTCTCTCAAGAAATACTAAATACTGAAACATCATTATCACAATTATAATCACTACACCTTATTTAAAATAATACAAATTAAGAAAAAACTGAACATAACATTGGATCATTAAAAAAACAATCACAGAAATTATTTAGTCACTAAGTCTATAAAAACTAAGAAAAACTAGACTGTGTTTATAAACAGATATAATAATATGATAAATGAGAATACTATTATATGAACAGAATAATCATAAGCTACATTGATTAGTATATAAAGGATGACAACTTCGGTTAGTTTTCTCTTTTATCTTTCAAAATGTCAATAAGTATCACAACTTATAGTGAGGAACATGTAAATAAATAAACTTAACCACTTTAACAATACTGTTTACAAAATGCATCCATTTTGAAATCATTCAGAGATGAGAGAAAAAGTCATGATAAAATAACTTACACAAATATCTTTATTTCTTTTAATGTATAAAGTAAACACACGATTGGGGAGGTTGCATGAGTTCAGTAGGGGGAAGATCACAAAGAATACATCAAAAATATTCATGTGGAAAGCATGAAGATCCTTTCACCTTTCCTTAGAGAAGAAGTACAACATTCTATACAAATGAGAGGATTGTGACAAAGAATTTTGAAGTTTAACAGGATGTCACAGTAATGAGGTATAATAAAGGTCAAACGGAGTCTTGCAGGTTTCTCTCTCATCCAATACTCACTGAATTCTCATTCGCTTTTCAGGGGGGCCTTTAGAGCTCACTGTCTGTTGGACATTCTTTGCCGTCTCCTTTTCCTCAGATTTTATGATTTCTGGTACAGGTTCTGCTTCTTTCTTTGTTTGATCCACTTGACAGCAAAAACAGATATTATTTGGAAGTTGGGAGGTAGAAGAATGACACCAATGTAGAAAACAATTAATGCAATGGTTCTGATTCTCAAATTTACTTAGCAATGCATGCCTCAAGTTCTAATTTTAGCTGTTTCATGCCAGTGTATAAGTACCCATTTACAAACCTAAAAACCTGATTACCCATGCAAACCCTTGACACTACACAAAAAACATGACATTTAAACAAGCCATTATACATAAACAAGACATGCAATTAATCTATACTAGTTCAACAGTTTACCTATTTTCAGTGGTATGACATCTTTCACACTGCTATCTGAACTAAAATCAATCTCAAATAATCTCATTTTCTCTACTTTCAATACCATTTCTTCCTAATTCATGTTTTAATAGCAGTACACCATTACAAAAGCACCATAGGTGACAATTTAGCAGATCTGAGAGGCAAGAGGTAACAAACTACAATGAGAGAGTCTCAAAGCACAAAATGCCCCCAGCTCATTTCATATACTATAGTTTCTATTGTGTTAATTTATTTGGTTTTCTTTCAAGTTTAGTAAGAATATCAGATGAACCATACCTGGAACAGGCTTTTCTCCAGATTTTTGCTGTAATTTAAATTTTAAAAAGTGGGAGGTAGGAGGGAGAAGAAAACAAAAACAGGTTATCAAGTTTTCTTCTTGATTTCATAATTCTTATCAAAATAACATCTTCATTCAAATTACACAGAAGACAAATTTAAATGACTTTATGAAAAGGAATTTCTATTCCTGTACCGTTATAAATTTATCTTTTGCACTCCAGAAAAGACACAAATCTAAAATTAGAACACAAGTCAAATATTAAAACAGCTGAATTTCTACAAAGCTCTTTGCCTCTGCACCTAAGTTACACTGCTTTACAAAAAAGTAAAATGAAATGAAATGGGACTGAATAATGGAGACTTCCAGAGGCACATTTGCTTAGTGGGTATAAGCTTTAAGAATGTATAGCCAAGTTTAGAAGAATCTCCAATTTTTAAAGTCGGAAGGTCTGAGAGGTAAAAAAGGAAACAAAGTATTCTGCTATGAACATAAGGTTTCTAGTAAGTAAAATCACACTGAAGGAAAAAATGAGTGGCAATTAGCAGTCAGGAACAAGGTCAGCAAATAACTATTGGACTATGTGCATACCTTGACTACTATAATAATAATGTTGCAATATACATGGGAATGCAGAAATCTCAACTTTATGGCATAGAATTTAAAAAACAGATTAATGCAACAGAATAGAGAATAGAAATAAATGCATGTATTATAGAGTCAAGACTATATAATGGGGAAAATAACAGTCTTGACAATAAATAGTGTAGGGAAAACTGGTCAATCTCATGCAAAAGAATGAGAGTAGACCACTACCTAATTCCACATACAAAAGTCAAGTTAAAGTAGATTAAAGATTTGAATATAAGACACAAACCCATAAAATCCTTAGACCACTGCATAAACTGTAAGTTCTTTAATGCTGGGTTTAGAAGTGTTTGAATTAAGGCACAGAGAGAAATGCAGCAATAGCAATAGCAAATATAAAGCAGTGGAACTATATTTTATTTTATTTTTTACAAGATTTATTTATTTGTGCATACAGAACTGGGATACAGGCTAGAGGCTCAAGGGCGGTGAGAGGCTTCACCAGAGAGAGTGGGGAGCAGAACAGGCAGATCAACAAAGT